TGATGATACATTAATGTGCTTCTACATCTTTATCATCTACAACTCGTTTCTATATCTTTGTTTAATTTTGGTTATTCAAAATAAAAGAAATTACGTAATTTTTTATATCTTATAATAAGATTTGAAAAAAATGTGGGGTCTTAGGCACTATGTATCTGTGGATTGAAAACCAATTGGTGGATGCCCAAAGTTTATGCCTACTAATGTAAAAATTTAGAATAAAACAAGGTTTTTAAAGTTGAAACATAAATGTAATTCCGACAGTGCACACAGTTTGTGAAGCCCCCTTTTTTGCGGTAAGTTTTCCAGGAGGACTAGGAGGGGGAGAATTTTTATCGGGCTATACTGTAAAGTAAAAGTATTTTTTGTTGCAATATGTTTTTCCTAACTACTCAGGGATTGAAAATTTCTAGTTTTTTTAGAATTAGGAAATACTATATCCAACTTCAAGGAGTGAGCACCAATTATTGTAAAATACAATTTTAAAGTTATAATTCATTACCCATTTGTGGGTGACACTTCAAAATTTAAAATAGGAACATTCAAATGGCGTATTCGATATGGAAATGGAATTTAAAGGTATCGGAAAACCCGTTATAGAAAAAAATATATGGAAAATGTAATATTGATATGGAAATGAGAAATCACATGGAAAAATTTGTTATGTATGGAAAATAAGAACCCAAATAAAATCGTGAAATCAAATTACAATAGGAAAACTGAAATGGGATTCCAATTTGGAAAGGGAATTCTATAAGTATGAAATGCGTCTAGAAAAATCAATATGAAAATTGAATATGATATGGAAAGTGAGGAAATTTCATATCGGAAATCCATTATGGAAATGAATATCAGATATGGAAAAGGAAACCCATATTAAATGGGAAATATCAAATTAAAATAGGAAAATTTGTGAAATGGGATTCGATATGGGAAATGGGGAAATCCATATTCGAAATGGAAAATTCATATAGACAAGGGATTTCATGTGGAAATGGTGAGTCAATATCGAAACAAGAAATCCATATGACATGGATATGATGAATTGGGAAAAACCTTTGATTTTGGTATTACGGATGTTTTACTTCAAATTTTCCCGCCTAACCGCCCTTTTTAAACCCACGCAGTCAGTTCTTTGTTTAAAAAGTCCATATCTACTCTATTCGGAAAAATACTTTTTCTTTGTAGAATTTTGAATTTACATTAATTTCATCGCATGTTCTATTAGGTAATATCTATTAAAATAAGTTGTAATGCAATAGAACCGAAAATGGATTGTCATGAAGAGTCATTCCATTTTGTTCATCTCTTTTTATGCCAATTGTATGAAGAACAGTTAGAATGTTGATAATTAATATTATGTGGCAGTGGTCACCTGGATTATGAAATTGTGTGGATATTAGAAATGAACTAATAAAAGAGCTGGTAGATGTCGTTGTCATAAAGAGTTTTCATAAAATCATTCATAATTTACTCTAAATGGTTATAGAAGTGGAGCAGATGATTAAAGACATTAATGTAATTTGTGTTTTACATTTTAATTCCAGATAAAATATTGTGCTACATTTACAGAATTTCATGTATATGCTGTATTATTTTATGTACAGGTAATATAGACCTACAATAAAATACATTATGTGCAGTAAAATTCAGCAATAAAAACACTGTAATGAATACAGTTGTTCTCTGGATACTCATCTTTGTGGCTTCCAGTCTTTGGCCTACTTTTGGTCCTTACTTTACAGTGTCCATATTTCTGATCTTTACATGAGTATTAGCTCTGATGTCACAATAAGTGATCTTAATTTTGTTTACAACTTTTTTTAAATGTTGTTTGAGTATTCCATTTGTTTTGTTGAATTTTTGAATTTCCTTTCAACTATTATTTGTCCAATATTGTTGCCTAAATAATTGAATTTGGAAGCTTATTCAATTACTTATTCATTGATGACAATTTTGACTTGGCCTTGGAGAAGGTCTATTTCAAGTACAATACTGAATAATTATTGAATTAATTTTAACAGAATATTTGGCCTGTATAAACCTCCCCCAAAAGTTAAAAAAGGGATGCCGAGGTACACTTGACAGCAAATTCTGTACTGTTTTTGTACCATGGTCTGTTGAAATATCTGTTTTTTAAATATGTTGTTTTAATCATTAAAAAAAATGTGTTATCCCTTACATATATCAGTTTCTCTTTATCTGAAGTACAACTTTGTGAGAAGAACATAACATGCAATTTCTTATTTACAATAATTTGAAAAATTTCTCTGCACACATGCTGTTTTCCTTTTGTAACTATTTTTTTTTTAAGAAGCAGAAAAACACCTTTCTTAAGATGCAATGCTTTCTTAAGTCCATATTACTAATTTAGCTAAATGGGAAATATTCTTAAAAGTTGGAGAAGAAGAAGAGAAGTTATCTAATACGATAGTCAACATTTTCTTCTTTCAAAATTTTTACTAATTTGTATGGGAATTTGTCTTGAAATGTTGATTAACTGAGGTTGCTCAGTGCAAAACTTGATTATACTGAAGTGCCTCTGATCAGGAGGACCTAGGGTTCGAGTCCCATGTCAGGATTTTCATTGCCAACTAGATAGCTAGGTTGAATTCAGCCACTTTTGGAAGGAGAATTCTAATGGCCATCTGCTCTGTTCCATACTAATAAATTTACAGCCTATGAAAGTATGATGTAAATGTTTAGCATATAACCGTTATTGTTAGTCGTAGAAAAAGTACTGTATGAAACTCAATGTAACGATAATACTCATATGAAGCTTACGATACTCGTATATTAAAACCCATCTTTACAACATCATTTCTTAATATACTATGAATGGTAGTCAGACCTTGATAAAATGCAAATCAATTTCATGAATTTGCTTAACTGTATCTTTATTTGATAAATTCAAAGAGGGATAAACTACATGACATTCACTTTACAAAATTAATTCTTAAATTTCAATCAATACAAAGCTAACAATTCACATTATAAATGAGAATGTGAAATAGATTCTGAATCATTAGTACTACAAGAAATAGGCGATAAAGGAAAATTTTCATTTCAATTATTTCAAAGTTTCAATTATTCTTCTAATACACTATCTTGGATTACTCAGTTCTTTATTATATACAACAACAATATAATAATAATAATAATAATAATAATAATAACTATACTAGTAATAATAATTAATAATAAATTGTGAGTTCAATACATTTGCTTAATGATAGTCTCTTCATGATTTTCAAATTGAAATATTTCATTCGATTTGTTCCAAATATGGATGTTCAGATCAGAAAGCAACTGGGTTCATAACGGATGACTTATTCTATTAGTAGATTCCTGTGCATTCCCTTCAGTAAATTCATACATTGAAACGCCGTAATCATGCTAAATGATTGAATAATTTCCATGTAGTAAAGCATAGAATAAGG